TCGGTCAAATACATGCTTATTTCACTGCTTATAAAACATACAATATGCTACGAATGATCGTTCATATCTGGCCTATAAATACACTACTTTAGCGACAAGACAAAGGGATGTAGTTGTTGTGAGAACAGCACTGACAGCAGCAATGGTTGTCCCCTCCACCATGTTTAAAGATTATGACCCGCTCAACTCGGAAACTCTGGTATCAAAATTATTTCTGAATTTCCCAGTAGTAAATACGACTTGAGAGTCCGTTCATGTCCAATTTCCTATTAGGAAACTCGTATTTACGATAATTCTGAAAGCACGTGAAGGCAGCATTATGCTGCGTTCAAGTCCTCCTGGGACGTTCGTACTTACGAGTTGACAAGTCGTAATTACTACGTCAGGTGCGTTCAAGTCAGTTTAGTCGGCACAAGATGGTAAAGAAAATTTTGAGTTTCCCACTCATAATAACGACTTTGTGGTGGCGTTCATGTGCGTTCAACTCGTAAATACGATCTATCCGACATGACTTGAACGCACCATTAGATACCCGAGGTTCCGAGTTGGGCGAGCCATAAACTTTAAATATGGCGGAGGAGAGAAACATAGCAGTAGTAGTATAAAGTTTTATTCGTTTTTCTCACAACATGTACATTGCTTTCTCCTACAGTCATGTAACCATTTGATGCATATTGTATGTTTCGTATTGTAGGAATCGTCAGCCAGCTGAATATCTAGATAGTGCTGTAAATGTTTATATGGTTACCAATGAAGGGGACGCTACATTTTATTCAAAACTTGTAAGATATTGACTAAATTTCTTTTGGCTTTAATCAGATTTCTCCAAGAAACAGGCAAGAATAAATAGGCTGCCCACCTTCTGTACTTTGACATCAAAGCGCTTGAACATGACAAACCCATAATTACAACTTCAGAACTGGGAAGCAGAAAGTTTCTGATACCATGTGTAGGCAGCATAAGTGTGTCAGATAAGAGAGACATACAAAATGTGCAGAGCAGTTGACCCCCCATTTGACATTCACATTTGGTCACAGGACAAAAAACGTCAATCTGAACATGATCAGATACAGGGTGAACTATAATTTGATTATTATATAAAACACCACATGCATAGTTTGAGAAATACTGCTGTGGTTCACATATCTTCTAAAACGCATATATTATATTTCCGACATTCATTGTCTACAAGCACAAATATCAAAGCTCTCTAAGACGTACTATGTGTAACATTAATAAAATCAATTAAAGGTACAATATGTACGTTTTTTTTAATTAAAATATCCAAAAAACACTAGAACAGTGTTTTACATTTTGTTTACTTGTGTACTTACATTAGGCCTATCTAAATGTTTCCAAGAATGTTTAAATCTAGAGTTAGAGTCACATTCTTGCCCTTCACCCCTAAAATCATCTTCACTGTGACAGTTGTGACAGCAGCACAAAGACAAAGAGAAACAGAGAGAAGAAAGGTTTTCAATATATAAGTGTCTGTGCATGTGAACACAGTTTGACATTACTGCACAAAGACCATTCATGTGCGGTTTTAAAATCAACTTGAAATGGACATGGGCTGGGCGATAAATAATATATCGAGAAGACAATAAAATGTGTCAGTAATGATGATACGCTCTGGACATTTTTACTCAATATGGATTAATATCTATCACACAGCAGAAATACAAGCGACAGCAGTCTGCACAACCCGATCTCATGGCAATTCGTACATATTTTACGAGGTGGCTAATTCATACGTTTTGTGAAAAATCATTTGTATTTTACGACGAGGCAAATTCATACGAATCCGTACGAATGACCACCCCTAAACCTTCCCTCACAGAAAACATACGAATGAGGTCATATGAATTCATACAAATTTGCCACCTCGTAAAAGGAATTGGTCACAAGATATTGTTGGTCTTCATGTTCTGTGTGTCTCTTTGTGTATGAATGGCACCATTTTGTCTATTACACACAAACACATGACGCTCAGTGTTTTCAACTTCTGCGTTTCAATATATGACGACATAAACATATGAACTTTAATCTACAGAGCTGCTCTGAGAGTCATTACATTAGAGACAACTACTCTCAAATACAAATTGAAACTGAAAGTAAAACTGAAAGACCTTCACGACAACCTGTCAAAAGTGTGGTTTAACTTGAAGAAATGATGACTAAAATATATTACTATTGAATACTAAAGCATAATTCTCAATATAATAAAAAAATATATTATTTTTAAGGAATGATAAAACTGTTAAAGTTTTATTAATTTATTTCATAAGACAATTTTTTATGATAATTTTGTATCGAATCATAAAACACCGAATCCAGAAAAATTGAAAATGAAAAAAATAATAATTTAGGGGAATATAAAATTGATTTCATGGGGCCCTAAATTAAAAGGTATTTTTTATCCCTGTGGAGATAATTGTGAACAAACAAAGTTGTTCTCAATGTCTAACAAAACATGTGGAAAATAGTTTCCTTACTTATTAACGGTAAATGAATATTGCAATAAATATCGATATAGTATGATACGGAAAAAAATATTGTGATAATATTTTTGGCCATATCGCCCAGCCCTATGGACACTACTGACTGTCTTCTTACACTGTAAAAAATGACCGTGATTTTAATGGTAAAAAACTGTGAAAATGCTACAGTAAAAACCTGTTAAATGGTTCCCCTACGATATACGGTGAAAAACTGTAATAGACATTTCAGACAATTTTATGGTAAAATACCGTTTTTGGAAGTGGAAAAAGAATGTATAATTTACAGGGAAAAACCGTAAATTGATGTTCCCAGAATTCCCTGCGTTGCATTTCAAATTTGATGTTTTTTTCTTTGAAATAACGATGTTTCTTCTTAGTTTTAGTTTAGTCTTAGCTTTATGTTTATTAGGGTTGTATGTTACATCTAATGTTGTTAAATTAATGTTTATTGCAGTGTTTATGTTTATATTTATTTCAGTTTCATGAGTGTGACACTGATGGTGTTTAGTGTTTGTGTGAATGACCTTCTATATATATATATATATAAGTATTGACCTTCTCAGCTTGTGGAAAAGCTGCTTGTGGTGAGCTTTGGTTCATCAGGTGACTTTCTCATCACCACCTGATTTTGATGGTTATCAGTGTAGGCACAAAACAGATGAACGAACTTCAATAGGTTGGTATATTAACATTACATCAGTTAAAGAAATATGGTTTTTAATTGTAAATTTAAATCCGTAAACCCTAAAACGTTGCTACCTTATTTTTTACGGTAAAATTCTGGCAACCACAGCTGCCTTTTTTTTTTTACCATAAATTTTACGGAATTTTTTTTTTACAGTGTGTTTGTTCTCATCATAGTCATGATGTTGCCCATTACAGGCCAGTCGTGGCCTAATGATTAGAGAGACAGACTTGTAACCCGAAGGTTATGGGTTCAAGTCTCAGTACCGGCAAGAATTGTAGGTGGGGGGAGTGAATGAACAGTGCTCTCTTCCACACTCATTACCCACAACTGAGGTGCCCTTGAGCAAGGCATTGTACCCCCAATTGCTCCCCAGACATCACAGCAAAAATGGCTGCCCACTGCTCAGGGGTGCGTTTTCTAAAAGTATCGTTGGCTAACTATGTTCATAAGTTCCATTGAAAACTATTGGTAATGACAGAACTTGCGACCATAGTTGCTATTGGGAAACGTACCCCTGGGTGGGTGTTCAAGGTGTGTGAGTGTTCATTACTCACTGCTGTGTGTGTGCACTTGGATGGGTTAAATACACCATACTTAGCCTCACGTCACTTTCACTTTACAGTTTGGTACAGGAGTCAGAATGTAGGGATGTGCCCGAAGCCAAATACCACATTCGGAAAGGAAATGACGCATTCTATGGAACCCCTAAAAGAACGTGGTGATGGAAAAAAATAAGTTTCAATGCTTTTGCATTGTGTTGCAATTATATAGTTAATTATATAGTATATCATTTGTAGGCATGAGGGAGCCACTATCATTATACGGGGATTGAAATCGCTTTTGAATGTGTGCTCGCTTTTTACTGTCAGTCAGTCATCTCTCCTTACTCTCTTCACGCAATAAGTGAAATCTGATGTACTGTAATGTGATTGACTTCCGCAACAATCCTAACTAAGTCCCTTTACAGGCTCCATAGAATGCGTTACTCATTTTACATGCCTTTCCGAATCGCCATCTCCTTGCAGCAGATTTTCATTTATGTGTGTAACAGTGGAACAATGTAGCATTGTTTTGGATGTTCAGTAAGTTCTGTTGCAAAATGTACATCATAAAGCTTTTTTTTTTTTTTTAGGTATGGTGACAGTGTGAATGCTAAGTGAACCATCTGTATCATCAGTATCATGCACCATTTTCTTTTTTTTTTATTCGAATCAGAAGAACCAAGAGAACCAAACTACAACTGTGAACACACCCTTCCATTTCTGAAGACAGAACTGATCAGAAATTTGAATGGAGCCTGAACAGTTTGAGCTGAATTAACTGCAGAACAACTGAAAGACTTGAGATACTCACCTCTCACAGCAACATTGATTCTCTTGATTGTGGTCCCTTTTTTGCTGATGACCTTCTGTGTATAAACTCCAGTGTGTTCAGTTGTGATGTTTCTAATGATCAGGGATCCAGTATTAATGTCTAGCCCCAGACTGCCTCCAAATCTCCCATCGATGCCGTCAAATGTAGAGATCTTTCCATTCCCTTCTTTGATTTCAGCTATGAGAGTGTTTTCATCTCCAAACAGCCACAGTATCTTATCTTTTTTCCGTATTTCAGAACTAGTCTTCAGAATCAAAGACTCTCCCTCCTTCACTGACACGTTATTCACTTTGTCACAGCAGCACATAGAAACAGAGAAATTAGATTTTTACATGTGAGTTAGTAAAGCTTCATTGAGCATGTGGGTGTGAACTGGTATTCGCAAGTTGATAATAAACTGTAAAAATAACATGCATAATAACTATATAATTTAACAAATACAACATTTATCTATATGTGTGTGCATAAAGTGTGCCACACACGACCTGAAAAGTGAGGGCATAACATTTTGATAGCCATTTGGTGGCTGGCTGCAGTATAGGTCATAAACCCTGCCGTCTCCATGTAAACGAACGACATGAGCCAATCTAAATAATCAAACCCTTCAAAAGATTTTTCCCAAAGATGGTTTTCATCCTTTTAGGTAGTTCTTGTAATGCTAATGTACAGTATGTAAAATTTTTCATTTTTCTAATAATTTTGCTTTTAGCAATTTGATGCTATAAAAACAGGGTGTGGTGGCATGATTGTGAGCTTGCGATTGGCTCTGCGGCGAGTTTGGGCAGGACTTTAAAACCATGGCTCCATCTCACGATCACTACTGCGCAGACGGGCTCCAAATGAATTACTACTGTGCAGACTCTGGGTCTAAAGGACATAATTTTTGCAAGATGACAGCGGCCATACTGACAGGTTTTGGCTTAAATTTTTTATAGTGAAAGGAAGTAGATATGCATCCTTTTTTTCTTTCTCTATGGTGTGCATTATGTGTACACGGTTTAATTGAGTCTGTAATTGCCTGTACTGTATCAATTCATCATTTTGTGCACTATAGGCCTAACATGTAATAAATTGAGGAACATACAAAAAGACAAATTACAATAAAACACCATATGCAACCTAAACTATTAAAATTTTGTTTTGTAAAAACAAAAAACAAAATCATCTCACGAAGATGCATTTAAAAAATAAACTGAAAGACAGCTACTCACAATTTATTACAACTTTGAATCTCTTGTTTGTGGTTCCTTTGCTGCTGCTGCTCATCTGTAGTTTGTAAAGTCCAGATAGTTCGGTTCTCATGTTCCTGATGGTCAGTGATCCAGTCCTCTTGTCCAGCTTCAGTCTGTCTCTGAATATCCCATCAGTACCTTCATATGTTGCTCTGGTCTTTCCAGTCATTTGAGCAATGAGATTGTTTTCATCTCCAAACATCCACACAATCAGATCATCTTTCTGTGCTTCAGTATTATCAGGGTATAAAGTGACTGATTGTCCCTCCATCACTGAAATCATCACGACTTCATTTGTGACAGCAGCGCAAAAAAAGAGAAAAATGTTGCCATTAGATCAAGTGTGGATGCTGTTTTATCAGTGATCATTTTAAAGGGGTCATGACATGAGAAATCAAATTTGCTTTGAAACATCCTGCAAGTTTCATAGCTTAAACCATCCTCCTCATTATTAACTAAGCATTTATTTAATCAAGCGCCACAAAATGACTCGTTTCGGATCTGAGGGGCAAGATGATGTCACCTGGGCAAAGACATTTGCATAAACTGCCTCCAGAGCAAGGTATCGATGAATAGTCATCGTCTCACCATATGCCCCGCCCACTGGTGTTCACTCGCTTAATGGCTGACACTTGATTACGCTGAATGCGAGTGTCGCGTCGCGTCAAAAGCGAATAGAAATTACAATCACTGCCGCTATCTTGTCTACACTAGATACATTATACAGATGCACGTTCACTTTCTGATACAGTCCACGTGCTTAAGGCCCAATCCCATTTTTACCCCTTAGCCCTTCCCCTTTGAGAGGTGTCTCGATTCTCTTTTGTTTGGAGGCGTAGGGGTATGTCGGTC